CTCTTCCCCCCTCCCCTCCGCCCGCTCCGAGGGCGCCCCCCCCCTCCTGCCACTCAAGGCCCGCTACCGCTAGGGGCGCGCGCGCGTGCCCGCCACACACACACACACACACACACACACACTCACACACACTACGCGGACCAATCGGAGGGGGAGGGTCGGCCTCCTTGCTCCTCCCCTCGCGCTCACACGCAACGACGTACCAAGTCCCGCCCCCTCCTCTGCTTCCCACCAATCAGGAAACGGCTCCTAGGGAGCGCGCGAGGTTTCCTTCCCCGCGCACCCGTTCTCACCGTTAAACGGATGCGTCTCGCGACAATCCCAAAGTGACCTTCTTTCCCCCCACCCCCCCTTCGCCGGAGTGAGACGCACGCTACGGGCAGGAGGGGCGGGTCTGGCGAAGTCGGTGGGTGGGGAGGACACGCACCTCGTTCCCCGCCTTGCGCGCACCCTGCACCGGCTGCGCGCGCACCCGCTGCCCTACGGAGCGGCGACTGCCCGCGGGGTTTTCTACTCTTCCTTCACGGCCGGATGCCCTTCCGCCTCCAACTGGACCCCACTTTCCTGTCTTTGGTCTTTCCGTCCCCAGCTCCGCCAAGTCTGGGAAGACGGGCAGAATTTTTTGAGCTGTCGCTTCTCCTTTAAGAAAAAAAAAAGCCCCCGTCCGTGGCCGGATGAAAGTCTCTGAAAAAAATGGCGGCGGCAGGACGGAGGCGGGGTTACGCTGACGTCCGGGGCCCGCCCCCTTGCGCATGCGTGTAGCTCGCGTAGCCAAGAGCAGCCTGGGAAATGTAGTTCTGTTTTTTGTGAACGCTTCGGAGGAGAGAGAGGAAAAAAAAGGAAAACTGGAGGCGGAAATGAGTCTAGAAAGTTCTTATTTGTGTGTTTGTTTTTACTAATTCGTGACGGGAGAGGTTTGGTCTCCCCCGCAGTCCCTGCTCACTTTGCTAGGGTTGGGGAGGTCGCGACAGCGCTTCCGGGTTAGGACGTGACACCGCCTACATCCGGGCTCTAAGACGAGCCCATTGCTCGTTTGGATCGTTTGGAGGGGCTTACGCTCCTTTTTGTTGGTGTTTGTGCGTTTTCCCGTACTTTTTTTGTACTTGGCGTGGTTTTCCAGGAGTGTCCCGCGACACCGGCTAGCCTTCGTGGCAACATTTCCTTAGTCATGCGTCTCATCGTGCTGGAGGTCAGGGGCCGGTTTAATCATCACAGTAATAGGATAATAATAAACGTCTGTGGAACGAATCTGCCAACTTGCTTCTCTCCTAGGCTGTTGGCACGTGTGGGGCCGGGTCGGCCGCGTTTCTCGCCGGTGGTCCCCTGGGCTGGAGTGAGGGGGGCGAGCTGGACGGCTGGCTTCCCAGCCCCAAGCCCCGGGCCTCTGCGGCTTACTGATGCGACAGCAGCGCCGGAAACGCCATCAGGACGGCCTTGGTCAGAAATGGCTTTCCTGCTCTGTCGTAGCAGGTGCAAGCGTTATCTTCCCGAAGATGAGTCCGGAAGGGCATTTCCACGTGTTCATCCCCAGGATGCAATCAGTGATGCCCTGGGCCGCTCCTGTTTAGTTCTCCCTTTGATCCACGAACAACCCAGGAACAATTGGCAAGAAGAGTTCTTAACCCTGGTAGTTAAAGCATCTGGGGTTAAAAAGAGAATGGATACAAGGTCGGGAAAGAGTCCGTTACAGATTTTACATGGAAAGCTATAGAGAAGTACTGAAGTAGGTTTTTTTCCCCCCCTTCCCAGTATTTGCCTTATTTGCCACATTCAGTAGGTAAATACTACCTATCCTTGCTGATTTGACACTTTCATTTGGAAAAATTCATACTGTACATAGGAAGTGTTTTAAGCTGTGATTATAGTCAGCAGACTTTGGAACAGCACTGACATCCAATGGCTGCTTAAAGTAATATAAAAATTTACACTGTCCTACAGCGGAATGAGGGATCTTTCCTTTTTTAAAATCATCACTAAAGAAAGCCCAGAGGCTCTAAAATAAAATTTGTATTACAGTCAATAACAAAGCTACCTCTGTTATTTTAGCCAAGTAAATTTTATCCCTGGGGGAAAAAATGGGGTAAAACCTATTTCGCAGGGTCTTTTCATACTACTTTGAGAAAATATGCCTTTTATAGACATTTACTTTCAAAATGAACAAAATAAAAGATAAAATTTAAAATCTCATTGTCATTCTTTAGAAACTGTGATGATGTCACCAAACAAGAATTATACTTTATTTGGATGTCCACAGTTTAGTATCTAGTGTCAAACCTTCCAACTTGATTCTATATAGATGTTCACATTTTGGACAACTATATATCTTGTCCAAGGAGAACTGAAACTTGAATCTACTTGGGGCCTGGTTGTTTACAATCTATATAGGAAAGCAGATAAGCATAATTTTTTTGAATAAAGACTGAAAAAAAATCTCAAGGATACTGCTCCTCTAGGATAGTCACTGTGGTATATACATACTTGGAAAAACCTACGAACGAACTCTGGTTTATAATAGGTGTTTCGATTTTTCAAACTTAAGTTTCCATATTTATTACCCCAAGCAATGTACTAGCAGAACTTAAATCTTACAATTTACCTACCATTCTATGTCAGGATCGTTAAAAAAAAAAAAAAAAAACTAAACTCAAAAGAAGAAATTCACTAAATCAAAAGAGAGGAAGTGTTAAGCAAATACAGGAACCAAAAAAGGATTTTAGAGGCTGCCTCACACTGTCTCATTCAGTTCCTTTGCGGTCCCCTTCTTCACCACATCCCAGAGCAGTTCTTCACAACCATTCCGACAAGAGCATCTTGAGTTTAAGACAATGGAGGAGTTGGGTGAGTGAGTTGTTTCTTGGAGGAGAAACACTAGGGGAATAAAGAACAGGTAGCCATGTCCATGTGTGATGGGGTTGATTTCTGGTGAGAGTGAGGATAGCTCTAAGATTTTATTTCCAATTTGTATCTGCAGCATGACCAAGAGTTGAAGCATGAGGAACCATATACTCGTTCTGGGGAACTAGGGTCACACACAGTAGGCAGAAAGTTTGGTGCTAACCACAGAGTAAATAGTCATAAGTAGTTTTAGACTGAATTATTATTGAACATTTCAATCATTATAAGCCCTTTTTTCCCCCTCTGTAGCTACTGGAGATTGTAGGATAGCTTTTACAGCTAAACAACTGCAGAGATATGAAAGAGAGAAAGAAAGGAAAAGAGGGGACAGTATATAAAGAGGAAGACTTCCAACTTTTTCTGGTTACTTGGAGATGAGTCCCACAGACTTTCTTGCCTGGGCTTGTATTGAACCATGATCCTAATATCTTAGGCACCTGAGTAGCTAGGATTATAGGCATTAGCCACTGGCACCCGGCTACCTTTTTTTTTTGCCATCCTAATATTGAGTTGCTAACTTTAACCAGTTTACAAGTTGTACTAATTTCATACTGTCCTGGCTTTGTGGGTGTTTGTAGGTCTGGGGAAAGTGCCAACAATAGAATAAATATCATGCATAGTTTTTTAAAAAATTGGTTTCATTGTGATTCAAGAGTTGGAGAAGTAGAGGAAAGAAGAACAGATAACAGGAGGGAGGAGATGTTAATGAGAAAAAAAAGCATTTGATGAGTATTACATTGTTTCAGAAATAAAATCTACTTTAGATGTGAATCCAAATTTGTGAATCCAAATTCTTACCCTGTACAAGTCATGAATATTGGGGAAATTCGCATTTTTTTCTTGAGGTCTATCAGAGTCTAACTTTTTTTTTCAACTTCAGGAATACCAACTATCGTGCAAATAATTCAAAGGGAACTAATAGCCTGCAACATAAGTTAAAATTAATATTTTACATATGTTAATATTTGGCAGCAATATTCTGAAATATTATTTGCTTTTGTTTTAAATGACAAAGAAAAAATAGCTTATTAACTGTAGTTCTGACACCAAAAGCAGACTACATAGTGTACCATGTTAGAAGTGGTTAGTTTAGGTATTCTAGCCAATGGTAAAACCCTCTTTTTTTTTTGAAAAATGTACTTTTGTATTTTGTGAGCAAGATAAATGTTAGAGAAATCTTACCCAAAAATACAGAAAATATGAAGCAGTCTGGAAGCTGACATTCAAGTAGATCGTCTAGTTGACTACAAGCCAACAGAGAGCTGATGACCATGCTGCAACAGTTTTTTCAAATAATCATTTCCACTTCTATCCCCAAGATGTGAATTGCCCTCTTTTTTTTCCTGCCTGCAGAGAAACTGCATGGGAGACAGGTTGGCCCAGGGGAGCAAAAGTTTTTTTATGATGTTGCCTTAGAAGTTAGTGTCTTGTATCCATTCAGAAGGTTTTACCTAAATGCTGATGACAAAAGACTGATAGATTAAAAGAACCATGAGGCTGTGTCTCTGAATGAGAGGGCGATCCCCAAAAGACCTTACTCTTTTCTGGTTAACATTGTTTTATTTCCATGGTTGAAGGACTAGGGAGAATCACTACAGAATTTTCAGTCAACTCTCTCCATTGCTCTTAGGAATCTCATATCTGTCATGCTGTCATCTTCATAGGTTCTGTAAGGATCTAGTCTTTAAATTAACATGATGGATGGGGTGTGGGCGAAGTGTGCTCATAGGAAACAGGAAGAGCCCTTTGTCTGCTAACTTGTGACCTAGAAAGGAGTGTTTTAATAACTTTGATTAGCAGATTCTCCTAAGGATAACTTCATACTTTTTTTTTTGATGGCATAACCTTCCCCTTCCTAACATTATTTTTTTATTCTTAAAAGATCTTTGACTACTGGCTGGGACAAAATTTAGAAAATAGAAAAGAAGTTCTGTTTTGATAGAGTAATACACAGTAAAAAGTGAAATTCTAAAATTCAGAATTGATGTTAGCTACTTTATATTTTAGACATTTAAAATCTGCTCATTATAAAAATTCATAAATATGCAACATTAGAGAGAATTTCTCAATGAAGTTGAACATATACTTCAAGCAGCTTAAACAACCTACCATACTAGTACATATCCTTACATATCACACCTACCATAGCTAGTAATTCCTCAATATCATGACTTATCCTTATCAGAAAGGATGAATGGAAATCACTGCAGTACGTTTATATTTCCATTACGATACTTAAACTAATGATTTGAAATATTGACTACCCAAAGTTCAATATTCTTGTGGTTTAATTCTTAAAAGTTCACTTAATGACCAAAATAAGGCTCACATAATGGTCTGCATTATGTGCCTTAAGACTTTAAATCGATGGATGCCCACTCCATCTCTTCTTCCCATTACAGCTTCCTTACTGAAGTGTAATTTGACTTGAAGAGTTTAGCTTAGTTTGCTTATCTGTAAAATGGTGCATAAAGCGCAGCATTGTGAAATACAGATAATTAAGAAAGCTCTAGTTTTGCAAAAAGAAAATAGCAAAGAAAGATGAAATCTTTCTTTAAACTATAAAGAAGTAATTATCTTCCCCAAATATGAAATAAATGAGTATCTGTTGTTTTGTTTAAATGATCTATAAAGTTCATTTTCCTTATGTAAAAATTTAGAAATAATCCAATGTTTCTGCGAACTTTTAAAAATTATAGTTTATGGCTAAAAATTTTTAACAAAGGATCCTCTAATGGAATAATAGCTTTAATATGTAAATGATAAAACAGCTTCAGAGAGGATGTCATGATTAAGATGATTCAGATAATTGATATGAGGAAGGAGAGTATAACTTCTTGTTTATAGTTAGTTCAGAGCTAGGGATCAGATAGCTCCAAGTGCTGTGCAAACATTCATGATCCTGTGGAAGTTATTTTATTCTATTGACAAAATGGGGACAATAATACAATCCACTTCAAAGTGTTAGAATAATTCAATGAAATGTATAAAATCCCAAACACTGTGCTGTCATGTGTTAATTTAAGTTAGTAACAATGCTATTATTTTCATTACAACACAAAGGTATTAGTGTAATGCTTATAATATCCATTGGCTGTTGCGAAGAAAACTAGAAAATAAACAAGTCTTGACTATTTGGATTGCAACATCTTTCTTGATTTCACAATACCTCAATTTTCTCTTCAACTAATTTTTCTCTCCACACCCTTAAAAAATAGAATACTTAAATTTTATTATAAGAAGTGTGTTGTGCTCTAGGGATAAAAATCAAGATTAAGTTGGGTACAGGTGGTTCATGCCTATATTTCTGGCTACTCTGAATGCTGAGATCTAAGGATCACAGTTCACAGCCAGCCCAGGCAGACAACTTTGGGACTCTTAACTCCAATTAATCAGCAAAAAGTGAAGACTAGAGGTGTGGCTCAAGTGTAGATTGTGAGCAAAAAAGCCAAGCAAGAGTATAAATTCTAGTACCAAGCACCAACCCCCCCCAAGACAAAACTCAGAATTTCTGGTGTATATTGAAAAAAGTGCTAATAAAATGGTTTAGTTTTACTGATAGGTAATATATTTATAATATATTTATGTTTTTCATTTGAAGATTTTTTGTGAGTGCTTTTTCCTAATTGAATTTATCAATACCTACAATATGAGACGTCAAACAGGATGAGATTATGAAATCAAATATGACTGTAGGAAATAGGAAAAAAACTACCATATGAGTCCAGAGGGATCTCCTGACAGAGAGGATATAGTCTTGAAGGGAGAATATGAGGATGGGAAGTGATTCGAAAATAGACCTAATTTCATGTAATTGTAACCCCTCTGTACAGTATTTTCACAAAAAAAATGAAAAAAAGAAAATAGACTTAATTCAAGAGAAAAAGGTGATCAATGGAATCATGGTATGGTTATTAAGGGGCCAAATGATTCCAGAAACATACCCTTCTGTATTATGATTCTCTTGTTTCTCGCGATACAGATGCCTTATTGGAGGAGCTAGAACGCTCTACCCTCCAGGACAGTGATGAATATTCCAACCTAGAACCAGTTTCCCTGGATCAGCATCCCCAAAGGGAGAATAACATTGCTGAGATTTCAAAGACCTCACCTGATCAGGGTCACACAAGTCCCTTGAAGGTAACTTAGTTATTTTATGTTTAGTAGATTTCAGAAAGCGAGTTCTATTCTCACACAGTGTTATTAAAAGAGAAGTCTATATCCAAGAATGAAAAAATAGTCTTTCAACTTTCATTTTTAAAGATGATGGTTTTGGAAAGATGAGAATTAGGAAAGTCAGTTACAACTAAATGTTTTCTTAGGGCATGGTAACAGGAAGCATATTGCTTGGCTCTCTTTGGGGCATTCTGATATTATTATCTGGGTTCAGAGATACCATGTATGGTTTGACCAACATGACACTCAGGCCAGTTATCAGATATCATCAGATATCATTGCTACAAGACCAGTTTAGACAGTTTAGGCAAGACCAGTTTTGGCAGTTTAGACAAGTCTTCTCAAGGGAATTTTCTGCTCACTTTGTAAAGCAACCTAAATTTAGGTTGCATTGTGTACAAAGTCAGTTGGAATCTTTATTCGATGTATCTAGAATAAAAACAAACTTTTGACACCTTTAGCAATTTGCAATTATGTAAAATTAAACTTGTACAATGGAAGCAGCTCAGATTTCTCCTTATAAAAGCTAGGGAGGAATTGAACAAATAGAAAGATGAGAGCTCATGGGTTTAATTACCTAATTTGAAATTGTGCAACTCTTGACTTTGATGGATTTGACTCCTGTGTTAAGTTGGGTAAATCCATGTTCTCTATTAGAATGGAATGAAATTGTGAAAGTCTATGATTTTTTAGAATCTATTTTTGGTTAGGCTACATGTTAAAAAGAATCATAAACAGAGACTACCTGAGAAGTTTGATTTATAAGAATATTATTGAGAAGTGTTCTCAATAGAGATAGAAAAAGAACACATGCAAAGATATTTTTCCTGAAGTAATTACTCATTTGAATATAAAAAAAAAACAGAATTGAAACTGGGGGAAAGCAAAGGAAGGGGTGGCATTGTCCAAAAAGAAAATTACTCATCACTTGACTTGTGAAACTATAACCTCTTTGTACAATACCATAACACTATCAATAAAATTATATTTAAAAAACAAAACTGAGGGTGTCTTCCATTTAGCTGAATTTGCTGTAAATTTTCAGGGTCATGTGTCTAGAGGAGTACTTTATTAAAATATTATAGACTATAGAGTTGTACAAATTATCAACAATTTTGAATCTATTAAGCATGAAACACAGCTTTGAAGAAGAAAATGAAGTGAAATGAAAACAGAAGTACAACATATGCATTACAATAAATAAATGAATAAAAGCTGAGGAGATATTTAGCAAGCAAAACATAGGTATTTCAAAGAAATTTTTCCATATTACAATGTGAGAGATAACTATGGCTAAGTAGCCAGTTCAGGTGTGTGAATATAAAGATATCAAGAATGATAATTTATTTGTGCTATTTTAAAATGTTTAGAGAATTATTTTATAGTGGTGATATTACAGATTAAACTCAGGTCTAACTCCTACTAGGCAGACACTCTATCACTTGAGCTAAAACCCTAACTCTTTTTGCTTTAGTTATTTTTCAGTGAGGTCTTTTTTTTTAACCTGGGCCAGCCTGAACTTATTTATACCTCTTCTTTTTTATACCTCTTAAATAGCTGGGATTGTAGATATTAGCAACATAACCACCATATCCAGCTTCATTGGTGAGATGGAAATCTTGCTGGCCACAGACTGCATTCTTTTCTCCCAGTCTCTGCCTCATGAGTAGCTGGAAATCCAGGTATAAGCTACCATGCTCATTCCAAAGAGTTTTTATTTTTTTATTTGCTTTAATCTTTATAACTATGTGTTATGTAAGAATATTTTAGAAAAGGTTAAGAAATAAAAGTTGATGATATTATATATAAAATTTATATTGTTGTTATTATTATCATTTCTTGGAGGCAGGATGTCTCGTAATGTAGCTCAGCCTGGCCTCAGATTTGTGCTGCTACTGCCTCCGCTTCTTTTCTGTGGGGAGTAGTGGTATGCACCAACACGCGTTAACCTTGACTAGAATTATTTTCAAGTAATTGTATTTCGTGCCTGTAATCCCAGCACTTGGGAAGCTCAGGCAAGAGGATCTGGAGTTTGAAGCCTGCCTGGGGTTCTTAGGGAGACCCAGTCTGAGAAAAAAATATATAAATATGAATTATTTTTAGAGTCCCCTTTTGCCTTCAAGTGTCCCACGTTGAGCAGCCAATTATATGGTAACTCTAAACATCTGCATGATCTGGAGCCTGTCTTCCTGGTCAGGCCGAGTTCACACTGGTTTGCTTGTTCTTCCAGCAGACCTTCCTTCTACATGGATCATGTGATCCTGATATCTGCTTTTCTCCCCTCCTATAAGTCCCTGTTCAAGTGTCCTCTACTTAGCAAGTCCTTCCTTAACAATATATCTATAACTTCCATTCTTTTTCTGCTTCCCACTGTCCAATCTCTGATTAATTTTATGGATTAATTTGTCTCTTATCACTACTAGCGTATAGGCCCGGAGTACTCACCTTTTATGTGATTATTTTAGTTGGTTTTTTGACTGTTACATCCTAGCCCTGGCACTTAATACTGAGTAAGTATTTGTTTATTTAATGAATGAATGAACAAATAAATAAATAAATCACTGCTCAACTACAGTTTAGATTTGCACATTGCTTCTTTTTCTTTTCCTATATCAAATTCAATCCTATAGCTTCTCTTAGGCATTATCTTGATTAGTTAGAGGGAATTTGCTCTGATTCATCTTGTTTGTTGTATGGCTCCTGTCTGACCATGGAATACTTTTCTATTTCATTGCTTTTCAGGCAGCAGGGGGCTGCTAATATTTGTTCACATGCCAAAGTCTCTGTTTAGAATTTAGCCTTTTTCTGAAGGGGTGGCTAGTTATTTTTTTTAACCTTATGGAAAGTGGTCCTAGAGATGAGCTGGTTATTCCCTTTATTATTTGTTTCATTTTTTAAAAGAAAAACATTTGTTGTTATTGTAAAGGTGATATATAGAGGGGTTATAGTTACATAAATTGGCTAAGAGTACATTTCTTTTTGAATAATGTCATCACTTTTCTCTCTCCCAGTTTTTCCCTCCCATCCTCACCCACAAGTTGTATGGTTTATTTGTTTTATGGGGCTAGGATAGCCTTGAACTCATAATCTTCCTGCCTTAGCCTTCCTAGTAACTGGGATTACAAGCATGCACCTCCATATCCAGTTACTATCCTCTTTTTTTTTTTTTTAGCAGTCCTGAGGGGCAAATTTATTGCCCTCAGTGCCCACATGAAGAAAATAGAGTGTTCTCTTCGGCAACACATATACTAAAATTGGAACGATACAGAGAAGATTAGCATGGCCCCTGCACAAGGATGACATGCAAATTCATGAAGCATTCCATATTTTTTTTGATTGTGATTAAGTGATTACATAATGTCTAAGTCACAAGTTCATTCTAACTTTCCTGGAGCAAATTGTCTATCACAGTCTGTAATATATAACAGTGTTCACATGTTATACACCATACATGTGATCAGCAGCATGGGGATATTTAGTAGTGGGGATATTTAGTAGTTACTATCCTCTTTAAAAGCTGGAAATAGCTGGGCACTGGTGGCTCACGCCTGTAATCCTAGCTACTCAGGAGGTTGAGCTCTGAGGATTGCAGTTCAAAGCCAGCTCGGGCAGGAAAGTCTGTGAGACTTTTACCTCCAATTAACCACTAGAAAACTGGAAGTAGCTCTGTGGAGCGCTAGCCTTGAGCTGAACAGCTGAGGGACAGCACCCAGGCCCAGAGTTCAAGCCCCATAACCACCACCACCAACAATAACAAAAAGCTGGAAATATTCTGTAACTGTCAGTGATAATAAGCACCAATATTCTAATAACAGAAAACATTTTTCATTCTTCTTTGTCATTTACATGTCCTAGGCGCAACTTGTGGATACTTCTAATATCCAGAAGTCCAATGTCTACAGGTATGTTTTCAGTTTTTATTAGATATTTTCAAAATATAAAGTTATTAAATAATTGTTGTCAGTCTCCAGGCTCTAGTTTGCTCTGCAAGTGTGTATTATCAGATCTTCCCACCCCTCCTCTTCTTTCCCCAGTCTCTGACCAGGGATAGAACTCTGCTAAACTGACTTGGCAGCATCTAGACTGACCATCCAGGCTGGTGGGCTCTGTTATTCCCTTTATCACTTGAAAACTGTAAATAGTCTTAGTCTTGGCCCACTGTTCCATGTATTATGCTCCACTCTGCAAATGAGAAAACACACCTGAAGAAACTTAAACAAGAGTCCAACAATGCCCATTCACATTTACGGGTAGACTTTTTATTTGTCATTGTTCTACCCTTAGGTGTACCTTTCTTTTTTTTTTTAATGTCAGGCCCATTTCTGGGAAACAAATCACACAGCTTCCATTCCATATAGTAAAGATTGATACTTGGTAATAATTAATCTGCGGCACTTTATTTCATTTCAAAATCACAGCCAGTGCGTACAGCACACACCAGAGGTAAAAGCAGGGGAAGGACTTGTGGTATAAGAAACTGATTTTTTTAAAAAAATTTCTCACTTGAGCGCACTTTCTCCTTTGGTGGGATTAAGGCCATTTGATTAATACATAATTGCCAGTTGATTACAATTCTAAGACTTGCAGGTAACTTTTCCCCCCATAGTCCTCCTCTTTTCTAACCCAGTAACACATTTAAAAAATGCAAAACAAGGACCTGATACACAGAGGCTCTCAGTAACTATTGCTTTCTTAAATCTGTGAAGCCAAGACTTCAATAGAAATAAAAGTGACCACACAAATATATAACATGAAAACCAGCCCAGGCAACAGCCATATTTCCGGTGTACATTGCGATCAACTGATGGCAAACAGATACTAGTCTATTTATTTCTGCAGTATAGATCTCTGACTTCCCGCTGCTAATGTCCTTCTTCTTTCTCTTGCACTGCATTCTAGGGAGCTGATGCTGCAGTTTGTGCTTTCCATCTCTAGGGATAGTTGGCTTTCATGAGCTGTGTCCAATAAGAGGCACTGTAGAGACCCTAGCGGGTCCAAAGCATGTGTCCTAGGCTCTTACTTTCCTTTTTTTTAAAAATTAATTTTATTGTTAGGGTGATGTCAGAGGGGTTGCAGTTTCATAAGTAAGGTGATAAGTACATTTCTTGTCGAACGTTATTATCGCCTCCCTTGTTTTCTTCCACTTTCCCTTCCCCCTGACTCCTCTGCCCTCGAAGTTGTAAAGTTCACTCACAACATGGTGTCTTGTGAGTCTTGCTGTTGCATTGGTTCACCCTTTGTCCTGTGTATCCCTATTTTCTTACTCCCTTTCCCTTCCCACAAATCACATAAATGTATATAGAAGACACAGGGTACCAAAATAAAAAAAACAGTAACAACAGAGGACAAAGGAAGGAATTTAAAAAACAAAATAAAAAAGAAATAACTCTCCACAGTACCTTAAAAAACAAAAATTAACAAAAAACCTCTTGTTTCCATAGCTTGGAGTTCATTTTGATAAGCATTATTTTATATGGTCATATGTACATAGCTATTGAGCTATTGTGATCCTCTGCTAGGGTTGACCTAGACATATACTAATTATTACAAATGAGGGAAACCATGCAGTCTATGTTTCTTTGGGTCTGGCTTACTTCACTTAATATGATTTTTTCCATTTCCTTGTGAATGGGATGATGTCATCCTTTCTGATGGAAGCACAGAATTCCATTTTCTTGATCCATTCATCTACTGAGAGGCATCTGAGTTGGTTCCACAAAAATTTAATCCAGTGGGCTGGGAAAGTAGCTCAGTGGTGTGTGCATGTGGCCTTGGGTTTGGTTCCTCAGCACCACATAAGCAAACTCCCCCCTCCCCCTAAGAAAAACAGAAGTGGCACTGTGGCTCAGGTGGTAGAGCACTAGCCTTGAGCTGAAGAGCTGAGAGACAGCACTCAGGCCCAGAGTTCAGGCCCCAGGACTGGCCAAAAAAAAATCCTGAGACTTGTTACATATGTGATGGAGAGCTGAGAGCCAAACTCAAGACATTGAGATAACCAGAACTTAGTCACAGCTACTCCTAAGTTCAAGGGACACAGCAAAGAAGCAAAGATACCTGAGCCACAAGCTGAGGTCAGTGAACTAGAACCACAGCACATCTGTCAGTCTTCAGCTGAAGCCATAAACGAGCTGCTGTTGATGAGAGAGACACTGAAAGTAAAAGCCTAGACTCTTAGGCTTAGGAGTAGCAATGACTTCCTGCTGTGGCTAAGTTTTGGTTACCTCTATGCCTTGGGTTTGGCTCTCAGTTCTCCATCACCATGTAAACAAGTCTCTGGATTAAGCTTTTGTGTACTCAAGGTGGTGTATATTTTATGGACTGAACTTTGGCTGATACAGTCTCCGTTACAACTTACTTACTTACTTAAAAGGCATGTGTAGAAGAGTCGTATAAAATCCACTCATAAATTTGTTATAGAACCCAGAAGCAGTAACAATTCAGTATTAGGAATGCTAGCATACACTGAATGGATGTGAAACACAGAAACTAGACCCCTACATCTTTTCCACCTTTCACACTGACCTGAATAAATCAACTGCTTATCACTTTTACAATATCCTGAAAGCTGTGACAATAGCAGTGGCCTAATGGTTATATGTCAATAGCAATGTGAGTAATAATTTAGCAATGGAATGTTTTGTGTGTGTGTGCGTGCATGTGTGCACGCGTGCGCACACACACGCGCTCCAATACTAGGGCTTGAAATCAGAGCCTGTGTGCTGTTCCTTAGTTTTTAAATTCAAGACTGGTGTTCCACTGCTTGAGCTGCAGCTTCACTTTTGGCTTTTTGGTGGTTAATTGAAGATAAGAGTTTAATGGACTTTCCTGCCTGGACTGGCTGGCCTGCCCTGGCTTAGAGCTCAGATCTCAACTTCCTAAGTAGCTAGGATTACAGGCATGAAGCCACTGGCACCTGGCTCAGCAATGTAACTTTTACATGAACAAAAATAACAAGTTTGGTGATAATAGGGAGGAAGAATTCACAAGATTTAAGAGAAATAAATGGAGGAGAGGATCCATCACACCAAAGCCCCTTAAATAGGGGCTTTGTCTGGAGTCTTCTAAATTCATGTCTTGTGATTTGTATTATTATATCTTTGAGTAGTTGTTCCTAATGGCATAGCAAGGTAGTTTTCCTGTCTTTACTGCCTTTAATAGGTCAAAGGAAAAACCAAAAGACCTTTGATTTAAAGTTCCTTTTCAGGAATATTATATCAAGGCACTTCTTAACCATCTATGCTTGGTAGTCTCATTTCCTATTTAGGATATTACTTATTGATTCAGGATATTATTTATTGTCCCTTAGTGTATCTCGACAGCTATTTTTCTTTACATGCTGCACTAGAACTCTAGTTAAAAACAGAGTTCTTTGAATAAACGGTAAGTATGTCTTGACTCTGAAATGGGAAGATTTTATGCATTCCCAAGCCCTAATGAGAAACTGTATTTATTCTTTGCTTGTTTAAGCACAGAGCAGCAGAATGTGCTCAAAATTCTGCCAAGAAGCATGTCTGTGGCAGCAATTACTCACGGCTTAATGACAGAAAGTTTGAGAGAACTCCCTCTCTGATTTCTAGGGAACTTTCAAGAAATAAATCAGTCACTTGAATACTGGACCATTCAGCCCTAGATTTTAAAACAAACAAAAGAAAATAAAAAGCCACTTGAATTTGGAAGAGTCCTGTGTTGGACACCGCAGAAAGTTTTTATTTCCTTTTAAGAAGACTATTCACTTTCGTTCTACGTTTTCCTTGTTAAAAACTCAAAAATATGCTTAAGTCAGCAGGGAGACATATACTCAAATAATGGTTTCTTTTTTCTTAAAAAAGAGAAAGGAATCCCTCTTTTCATTGAGTTTTTCTTGGCTGGTAAATACTAGTGAGAGTAAGCAATAGAGTAAGTCTGTGTGTTTATTTTTGAAAATATATTACCAAACTACATAGAGTATTTCCTTTTAATTTTGGGTTTGCATTGTGTGTGTATGTTTGTGTGTATGTGTGTATGAGAGAGAAAAAGAGAGAGAGCATATTATAATACGTTATATAATCTTTAAGATCACTTTATAGAGATTACAAACTTGTCAGTCTTCAAGCCCCAACTTCGTTATCCCACAACTTAGAGAAAAACTAATTCAAGTGCTCTATACTCCAGCTTTTCATCTGGGGTAACAAAAGTGAGAGTACTTACCATTTTCTTTCAAATACATTATATTTATAGTTCATTTTAGGATATCATTGAAGATTAGCAATAGTAATAAAATCTATCTCCCACTTTAGAAATGTGTTTAGTTTTGACTACTACATGTGAGGATTGATATAAATTTCTTCTAGACACATTTTGTCTGGTTGTGGAATTTTTCTTTTATTCCTCAATCTCCAACAATAGGAATGATAATTTGATTTCTCCTGCTTTTTAAAGCACTTATAAGCATCCTTAAAAGGCTGTCCTCTTATTGGTTATTACAATGAATCTTATTTATCCTTTTCCTAATGTTGAATCATTTTGGATGACTGATTTGAGCACTAGCTGTGATATTTTTTATTTTTCCTATGATGAGGATCGAACTAAGGGCTTTGCAAAAGCCCAGTAAAGTCCTCTACAACTTAGCTGCATCTCTTTCACCCTGATTAAAATAAATTCTAGTTTTTAAATTTAGATTTCCCCATATATGGTTCTTTCTTTGTCTGACTTTAGTATCAACTTTCTGTGATCTTTGTAAAATTGATTTGGTGACTTTCTTAATATTCCTATTCACTTAGAAATTTTATATAATTCTCTCAGTAAGCTGATTTTCTCCCTTGCTTGTTTTCTGCTTCATTAGCTTATACTTTAGTCCTAATAAATGGTGTTAGGATCTTACTTGGTCTTGAGTCACATATTTTATTTCTCATTTTCAAAGTTATAATTAAGGAACTGGGATGTAGCTCAGTGGCAAAGCACTTGCCTAGCAAGTGCAATGTCCTGGGTTCCATCCACAGTACTGAAAAAGAAAAGACAAAATGTAAGTTAAAAAATAGCAATTAGAAAACTACTCAAGTATATGTGCATATTTCCCTTTCTAAAACATTTTGATTTCAACATTGAGGGTGTGTGTATATATTTCTGAATGTGAAATAGTGTGTTTTCACTGTTATTTCTAAATACTCTGAACATTCAATTTTAATTTTTTTCAAGACCAGTAATTATTTGTATGTGCCTTTTTTCTTTATAGTTAATTTTTACTTTTATTCACTATAGTTTAAGCATGACTTATTTTTTTGTGGGGTGTGTGTGTGTGTGTGTGTGTGTGTGTGTGTGTGTATTGGTCCTGGGCCTTGAACTCAGGCTTGGGCACTGTCTCTGAGCTTTATTGCTCAAGGCTAGCACTCTACTATTGAGCTATATAGCTCCACTCCTGACTTCAATCCCAAATCCTCAGATCTCAGTATCTGTGTAGCTAAGATTGAAGGTGTGAGGCATTGCTGCTTGAATACTTACTTTTTGCGTGTGGCAGTACTAGAGACTGAACTCAGCAACCTCATGGTTGCTCAACAGGCACTCTATCATTCAAGCAACACCAGCATGATTTACTTTTTAGAATTTATTGAGCTTTATTTTGACTCCTAATACTTGTTTCATTTTACTAATGAATATTCAAGTAGAAGCATTTTCACAGAATCTCTGTTCTTTTGCTTGAGCACAAAGATTTATTTATTCATGATTTATTCACAATGTGTAAATAAGAACACACCATCATATGTATTATCTAAGATTCCTGCAACCTTTATGTGTTAAAATCCAAGTAAAATATGTCAGGTTTTGTGGAAGGTAAGGCCTCTGTAGCATCTCCATTCCTCTTCTGGGCAGTGGCTGTCAACAGTGGGAAGTGGGAGGCAGTAGTTACAGTGGTCCATGGGCCTCATATTGTTGATGCTTACTCTGTGTATTTTTATTATTATTTTCTTGCCGGTAATTAAGAGAAGATAAAATACCTTATAATGTAAAATGAAGAATGCTATTCAATTTTTTTAAATGCAGTATGGTGATTTTAAAGCTTTTTTCAGAGGCCATTGGTTAGCTGATGGTTGAGGAAGAAGGGCCTGTCATGCCATGTGTCCTACGCTTTGCTTCGTTCAAGTGAGAACAGTGCTTACAGATAGAAACAAGTGGCAGAGAGCTCTGATGGTCTGATTCAGATTTTTAGTCTAATCGCTGGGTGTTTGTTGTTGTTGGTCAGTACTGGGGACATCAGAGCCTTTTGCTTGCTAGGCAGGCTTTCTATCACGAGCCACAACTCTAGCCCTCTCCCTCCCACGTTTTTTGTTGGTGGTGTTTTTTTAGTTTCACTTTTTGGATAAGGTTTTATGTCCTTTTTGCCAGGGGTCAGCCTTGAATTTTTATCCTCCTACCTACATCTCCAGTGTAGCTGGGATTACTGGTGTAAACATCATGCCTGGTTTGTTTGTTCAGATGGAGACTTGTGTTTTACTTTTGCTGTGGCTGGTCTGAAATCATGAATCTCTTAATCTCCACCTCCTGAATAGCTGGGATTATTGGCATGTGCCACCATGTCAGGCTTCTGGTCTGTTTGTTGTTGTTGTTTGATTCTGTCTGGTTTTAGACTCACATCTAACTGGTTAATAGTTAAAATCACATTTTCTGGTCATTTATATACGTGACTTACAATTTATTTGGGTTTGGCTGTGTTAATATGATTTTTTTTCTCTCTCTTCCTAGTGAAATCCAAGAGCCAAAGAAATCACTACCACCACCTAAAACCCCAGCAGCTGCTCAGCTGGATGAACTCATGGCCCACTTGAGTGAAATGCAAGACAAGGTAGGTACAGTCTGGATGATAAACCAGGCCCTGAGGGACACCAGCTTATCTTTGTGGGGATCAGCTCTGCATTTCTCTGCTCAGGAACCCCTCTGTACAGTATTTTCACAATTAAAAAATACAAAAAAAGGGAATTCTAAGTTAGCATTTACAAATTCAGCAAAGAATCTCAACTTTGTACCATACGTTATTTGGGCACAAAAGATAATAGGGTGCATGCAGGTCCTGAGCTCAGTCAGCTTGGCGTGTACTTGGTGATCTGAGGCCTTTCTAACGTTTATGCAACTGAGGGATACTAGGCAGGTGGTTTAACAAAACATGTGGAGCAAACTATAGGGATTTGGAGAGGTTATGGGACTTGGGATGGATTCTGAAAATGAATAGGGTTGGGCCATACAGAGGTAAGAAAAGTCCTTTTAGTTGGGGTGATCCTTTGGGGAACACCCACGGGAGACCCAATGATGCAGAAGGACTGCTAGAGACCTGATAGAGCAGAAGAGAGGAGGCCAGTGGGCTAGCAGAGACAGTGCTAGAGAAACCTAAGTAAGATGAATGAGTTGCAAGCCCATATGCAGATAAAAATCTGCTTCCTCATTCTTGCCCACAGACCATTGCCTGTAGAGCACAAATGGCAAGCTCTTGTGGCCTGGCAGAGAATGGAGATCAGATAAGGAGGCTTGAGTATTTATAAAAGAAAAGATATCTACAATAGTACTTTCTTTGGTGCTGACCTTGAACTGAAGACCCAGGCACTGTCCCTGAGTTCCCCTTTCCCTCCCCCTCACAGCTAGCACTACACAGTTTGAGCCACAGCTCCACTTTCAACTTTTTGGCGATTAATTGGAGATAAAAGTCTTACGGATTTTACTGCCTAGGCTGACTTCAAACCACCATCCTCAGATCTGAGCCTCCTGAGTAGCTAGGATTACAGGGCATGTGTCACTAGCACCTGGCAATATCTAGAATTTTTAAGGTAGAGAATTCAACCGCTATAAATCTGGCTGGAGGCTTTGACACACACTTTTGAAATAACTATGAAATACTTTTAAAACACAGTGTAAGAATGTGGAGGGCAGGGATCTTGTTTTTGTGGCTCAGGATCTAAAGCAGTGCCTGGCACACTGTGAGTACCATGTATTTATTAGAGGGAAAATGAATCAACACCACAAACATGGTTCTTTAATGGATACTATTTTTTGATTAGCTAAGGCCTGCAATCAAGCTGAATAAATTTGCTCATTTTTCTGAAAGTGATAGACAAAATTGACAGTAGGACATTGTATTATATTATTGATTTGGCCTGTGTCTTGATCTTTTGGAACATGAGTTCTGTGACAGCAAATCTGATGTGATGATGTGGTGGCAGTGGACAGCCATTGTGATTTTTTTTAAAGTATCCTGTCAGTTAAGCATTAGGTAGATGGTGGCATTTCCCACTTAGAAAGAAATAGAGTCAGAAATGAGGACATAAAATGCTGAAGGACAAGTTAGGCATTTTATTTTTCATTATGTGAGGGTTTCCCTTTGAGGTTTATAGCAATTATGAACCTTTGAAGTTAATCATAATTAGTTTGGAGTTTTACTTCCAATCCATCAGAATGCCTTCTCTGACCACTTTTCACCACCTTCTCCCTGGACTGATCATTGTATGTCGGTCTCTGAATCTGATCTTGCTTTTCAATGCCCAACTCTCCACTCAGCCATTACGGGATAATGTACATCAGCTTCCTTCACTATCATGCTTGAAATCCTTCAAAGGCTCCATTTGGGATAAGCCAAAGCTGTTACCCCTAGGGTCTCGTGTGACCCCTGCCTTGCTTTCTGCTATCTTCTGCTAGGTTTAGTCTCAGTCAGTTTATCTATCTTCACTGACCTTATGGCTTTTTTGTTGTTGGTGGTGTAAATATGCCTTTTTTAGAGAGGCCTTCTCTGATCACCCATACCTAAATCCATTCTTCTTTACTATCTCACCTTCCATCACTTCTATCTCCATAGAAACTTAGCAGCATTTCTTTACCTGACATTATGGCATACATTTGTTTATTGTTGATCAATCATCCATTTAATACAAATTTCACAAGGTCAGAGACTTGCTCTGTCTTATGTGTTGCTTTATACCATGTACCCAGAACAATGATTGACACAAACTAAATGTTCAACAAACCTTGTGGATTAAGTGAATAAAAGAAAGATGACTGATTATCAGCTGAGGTCACTATAGAGCTGGAAGAGGGTATCATCTTCATGTACTCAATTTTCTATAATCTAAAGATTTATAAATAGATAGAGGTTGGTCAGATTTCATTTGGCCTGAAGATTTAGAATGAAAGAACAATGAAAGTGTTTTTTTTTTATTTGTGTCAAAATATTGGCAGTATACAGTACATTGGAGGAATGTTAGAAGACCAAAAGATCAGTCAGTAGGGGTGAGCTTAAGGAGTTGTGTTCATACACTTCACTTTTAGTGTATGAAGGCTGATTCTCTTCACAATTCTTTCCATTTACCAGATTGTAGTGAAAGCAGATGCCAGCAAGAAGCACTTACCGGACAAGCAGGATCACCAGGCCTCCTTGGACTCAATGCTTGGGGATCTGGAGCAGGAATTACAAGACCTTGGGATTGCCACAGTGCCCAAAGGCCATTGTGCTTCCTGTAGGAAACCAATTGCAGGAAAGGTAGGGTTGGCCAAAGTGTTGACTCTACAGCATGTGTGTCTTGTGTTTTTTTGTCTCTCTATCCCACCAAAGATGGTGTTTTCCTTATATTCTGATATTTTAGAATGTAATTGCTAATGATTACTGATCACTTACACTGTGCTGGGCCCTGAACTGTGTGCTTGACAGATAGTTCTTCATTTAATAGTCCCCCAGCTAGTCAAGAAAATCCTTAGTGTTCCTTTTCTAAAGATGAAGACACTGAAAGCTCAGAAAGATTAACTGACATGACCAAGGTCTAGTAAAAGGCAGAAGATTTGGAAGGAGGCAAGACCTACTCCTGAGTTCTTAACTATTTCCTGTATTGCTTTTACTGAGCGACCCTGTTTACTTCTTCCTGTACTCCAGCATTTTAGAGCTAAATTGGTTGATGGCAGTTATTAGTTGACTCTAACTTCAAATCATAGCAGCAGATTTTTTTCAGATTCAACCTTCACCAAATCCTTGAGAGAAAAAAAGAGCTTTTAGAACTGATTTTGTGAGATGCTCAGAGGTGAGGAGTAAACACCATTTGACTTATTTATCTTCCAAAGATGCCTTCAATGCAAAGGCTGAGCTTACCTCTTTATCACCAATGTGTTCTTTGTTATTTCTACCACTCCTAGGGTAGTAGAAGGAAAAATGATAGGCTTTTATCAGGGAGATTAGTCAGGATAGTAGGTCCTTTTTGCTATTTATTAAGTATGACCACAGACCGCATTACAGGGAATTTTGTCTGACATGGAATACAGTGTGAAGAGTGCATTCTAGAGTCAAACAAGCACTAAAGGCTTGCGCATGGTACTACTCTTCCATGTTCTCCCCAGGTAATTCATGCTCTGGGGCAGTCGTGGCATCCAGAGCACTTCATCTGTACTCACTGCAAAGAAGAACTTGGTTCCAGTCCCTTCTTTGAGCGGAGTGGCTTGGCCTACTGCCCCAAGGACTACCACCATCTCTTTTCTCCTCGCTGTGCCTACTGTGCTGCCCCCATTTTGGATGTAAGCAAGCCCCTCCCACTAGTTTTTTTTTTTGAATACTCATCTAGAAGCCTGATCATCTTTGACCATGTGGTGTGCTCTTTTTCCAGAAAGTGCTGACAGCAATGAACCAGACATGGCATCCAGAGCACTTCTTCTGCTCTCACTGTGGGGAGGTATTTGGTGAAGAAGGTAGGCTTGGGAGTTGTCTTTTGAACTCCAGGGGCTGGTGATGGGGAGGCAAGCTATGTTCTTCCATGAGGCCTACCATCCACTATGGTCTCAATGCTTTCTTCAGTCCTACATTGCTACCACTCTCTATTTTTCCCCCAAACATTTATAATTCTTGCTTTTTTTTTTTTTGTCGGTCGTGGGGCTTGAACTTTGGGCCTGGGCACTGTTCCTCAGTTCTTCAGGTCAAGTCTAGTGCTCTACCACTTGAGCGCTACCACTGGTTTTCTGATGGTTTATTGGAGGTAAGAGTCTCACAGCCTTTCCTGCCTGGGCTGGCTTTGAACCATGATGCTCAGATCTCAGCCTCCTGAGTAGCTAGGATTACAAAGTGAGCCACCGGTGCCCAGCTTGTTTAAATTTTTTTAAGTCAAAGACATACAAATGTATAGTTTTAACATTCAACTATTATTTTAAGGTTAATATGAAAAGAGTGTCTTGGTTTTCCCTTCCCTAGACTTAAACTGTTTTCCTCTTCCAAATTATTTGTCTGTTTAAAATAACAGTACTATAGATTATTTTTAACACACCATTATATATTGACTTTCTACCAGAGAAGATGAGATGTAGAGACTTTTATTACTACCTACTCACATATTTCTCCTCTCCTATTCTCTCAATATATAATTATGTCATAATTAGAGGTTAGGCAAACATTGACTGTGTTCTTGTTGACAATCATACAAATACTGCTCACTGTGAAGCCATTTAGTAAGCCATGATAATAGTAGCACATGGATGTTGGGGGTCAGACTGCCTCAGTCAAATTTAGGCTGTGGTATTTATTATGTATGTGATGTTGTTTAAGTCATAAACCCTCTCCATACTTCTATTTTCTCATCTGTAAAATAGGCTTAATAATAGTTGCCACCTTAAAGGGTTGTAATAAAGATTTAGAATATAAGCATATTGTTTACAACAGTGCCTAACTCAGGAAGGTAACGTCATAGTATTACTATGGATTTTTTTGGTAGAACTCTATTTTTACCCTAGAGTTAACATTTGAACACTTTTGCTTGGTTTTGTTTTGTGCCAGTTGTGGGGCTTGAAGTCAAGGTCTGGGTACTGTCCCTGAGCTTTTGTACTCAAGGCTAGCAGTCTAACACTCAAGCCACACCTCCACTTCTAGCTTTGTGTGTGTGTGTGTGTGTGTGTGTGAGAGAGAGAGAGAGAGGGAGAGAGAGAGAGAGAGAGAGAGAGAGAGAGAGAGAGAGAGAGAGTATGTATGTGTGTGCTTAATTGGAAGAAGGGTGTCACAAACTTTCCTGCCTGGACTGATTTTGAACTTTGATCCTCAGATCTCAGCCTCCTGAGTAGCTAGGATTACAGGTGTCAGCCTTCAGAGCCTGACACATTTGAATACTTTAATTATCTTAGTTTTATTGTATTTATCACTAATTTATTTATCTAAGAGGGCTGTGAAATCCTTCTCAAAATTGTCAGCCACATCTGGCAGTAAGTCAGTTCCTCAGGCATGCTTTTTTAAAATATTAATTTTTATTAGCACGTATTAGTTGTATAAAGGGGTTTTAGTGTGATACTCCCATAAAATGAGTATAATGAAATATAAAGTATAACTCTCCAGCATACCTCTTCTATCACTGTCCCTATGTTTTCTCCCTCTTCTTAAACAAGTTCAACAGGTTTCTCTGTTCTGTTTTCATACATGCTTATAAAATACTTCATTCTTGCTCACCCTCACCCACCCCACCATTTATCCTCTCACCCCACTGATACATGCCCTCTAATTAAACTTACTATACGTGTTCAGCTTTCATATTTTTAATGTATGTTAATTGTACCATAGAGTTTCACCATGATATTTCATATGCATATGCCATGGCACTGGGAAAAACATGTTGTCTCCATGCGTAAGACTGAAACTGAGACCCCTGCCTCTCACCCTCTATGACAATCAACTCCAAACAAATCAAAGACCTCAATGTAAGATCTGAACCCTTGAAAGCACTCCAGGAAAACAGGGAGAAGTCTATAGACTACATAGCCCTAGATGACAATTTTCTGAATAAGACTCTTCAAAGATTCTTCATTCACAGCATTTCAATTATTTGCTTCTGGTGATTAGATCATCAGATAGTATGAAACTAGTTCCATATCATCTTTTCATTCAATTTTTCCTATAAGAAACATGAGGAACTGACACATTTGTAGCCAATAGCATTGTAAGTAATTTTCAACTGCTTTTCTCTATTTAGTGGTCCTAGGCCCATTCTCACCTATGGAAATTTTTTCTAGAGATGAGTCAGATACCATCTTTGAATTCCACAAGTGTCAGGACACACACACATCTCATTTCCACAGTGGTCTGATTTAAATCCCTTTCTTGAGCTAAGGAGCAGAAAGCCTACAATTTTAAATAGAAATCCCTCTCATGATTTTCTTTTCTCTTTGCCTGTTGTATATCATCAGTGTGAGTGAAGAGTTCAAGCTTTATGCAAATAGTCTTTGGATATCTGTTTTGAGGATCCTTGCAGCTCTATTTTCTCTTGGTACCTTATATATTTCTTCTTTACTTTTGTCAAATGCTAATCCTTGATTGTTGTTCCTGATTTAAAATGAGACAATAAAATACTGATTGGAGTTGGGCAACAGTGCCTTACACCTGGAATTCTAGCTACTCAAAAGTCTGAGAGTGGAAAGGGCATGGTTTTGAGGCCAGCCTGGGCAAAGTTCTAGAGAACTTATCTTGAAAATAACCAGCAAAAAGGCAGGGTTGGAGATATAGCTCCACTGGTAGAGTGCCAGCCTAGGAAGCTTGAAAGCCCTGAGTTCAAACTCCAGTACCACCCAACCCCCACCAAATACTAATTAGAAGCCTTCACTATGGGTATATAGACCTTGTTGATTGGCGGACTCAACTATATAGTAGTCTGGTATGATAATTATAGCCCTTTTGTCCAGCGTCTACTTTGTTTTAGTCCTTTCTCTTGAGTCAATTTTAGGTCATAAAACAAAATAAAGGAATAGCATTTCCATCATTCACTACGTCAGCTTTTGCTTCCATTTTTTTGGTAGAGACTTTGACTACTTTCTTCAAGACACTTAAGGGCTGGGAAGTTGGCGCAGTGGTAGAGTGCTTGCCTTGCATGTATGAGGCTCTGGGTTCGATTCCTCAGCACCACATAAGCAGAAAAAGCCGGAAGTGGTGCTGAGGCTCAAGTGGTAGAGCGCTTGCTTTGAGCTTAAGAGCTGAGCGACAGCGCCCAGGCCCAGAGTTCAGGCCCCACCACTGGAAAACCCCCCCCCCCGAAAAAAAGAATGATCACAGGTCTTCAAGACACTTAATATTTCTGAATATCGAGAGTCTTTGGTTTACTTTTTCCAGAAATAACCAGTGTATTTTGTAGTAGGGTGGGACATCTGATTTTTCAGTGAATCTTCAAACTTGCAATCAAGCCTACTTCTAGCCTTAAAGAGTATTTTATACATTTAGTTCCTGAGTTTCTCTGATATTATGGAACTCAGAAGGGATAGAGGTTGTTTTTTTTCACCATCTCCTGTCTGTAAAGTTTTCTAATTTATGCAACTCACTAATTGCTATTTTTTTTCAGCACTGGAGTTTGGACTGTGGGCCTTGTAGTTTCCAGGCTGGCACTCTGGCATTTGAGCCATGCCTCTAGCCCTGTGTTTTGTTTTATTGTATTTTATTTTGCCAGTCCTGAGGCTTGAACTCTGGGCTTCTGTACTGTCCATGAGCTCCTTTTGCCCAAGCTAGCACTCTACCCCTTGAGCCACAGTACCACTTTGGGCCTTTTCTGCAATCCAATTGGAGATAAGAGTCTCAAGGACTTTCCTGCCTGGGCTGGCTTCGAGCTGTGACCCTAAGATCTCAGCCACCTGAGTAGCTAGGATTGTAGGCTTGAGCCACCGGTGCCTGGCTTCTAGCCCTGTTTTCTTTGCCAGTTATTTTGGAGGTGGAAGCTTGAAAATTTTTCTGCCCAGCCTGGCTTCAAACTATAATCCTCCCGGGGCTGGGGGTTTAGACCAGTGGAAGGGTGCCCACCCGGTGCGCCCAAGGCCCTGGGTTCGGTCCTCAGCCCTGGAAAAAAAATCCCAAAACCTATAATCCTCCCATTCTCAGCTTCCTAAGAAGCTGAGATTACAGATATGATGCACCAAGGCCTGGCTTAGCTGCCATTCCTATAACCTACTGTAATTGAGACCTTTACTGCTATCTCCTTAATGGTATCTTTCCTGTCCTTGTGGCGCTCTCTCTCTCTCTCTTTCTCTCTCTCTCTCCATATATATATATATATTTAATAATTCCTTGATTGTCATATTAGTGATGTTTCAAGAAAGAGTAAAGAAGCCTCTAAAATGGAAACCCTCCTAAATGCCAGGCATATTACAGTATTATGCATATTGATAACTGCTCTTCATTTGACCTCCACTAAAGCCTAGTGAGAACAGTTTTATTTCACATTTTACCTATTGGTAGATGAAAACATTGAGCCTTAGGAAGGCAAGGTTATTTTCTTAAAGTCATACAACTAGAAGGAGATTGAAGAGATAGGATTTAAAATTGGATCTTATTTCTGCCAAGTCCTTTTTTTTCTATCTGGAGACTATCTTCGCCTGTAGTTGAATCTCTTTGCTTGCCTAGTACCAACATGAGGTGCTTGACAACAGACTTGGGTCCAGCAGCACTGACATAATGTACTTGTTAAGGGCTTTACTTCTTCACTGGAGCTTGGCCAGTGCATCTTATAAATCGCTAAGTATTTCATTTCCAGGTTGCACTTCAGTGAAGCAATGTGTTTGCTTTTTATTGGGAGTTAATTTAAATCATATAATAAAATATATCACAGCAAAAATATATCATAGCCATAGAAATCTGGGAATTGTTAGTTGAGTAGACCAGTCAGTGAGTTAATACAGTCCACAACAAATTATGATGTAGAAGTTACTGGGCGGCTGAACAACAGGTTATAGGCCCATTTAAAGTAAGGACAGGTTAGATACAACTAGTTAGAAATATAGGGTAACTAGAAAGTATAATGAAAGTATAGCTAGTTTTGGTGTTCTTGACTTGGGCCCCTTTGAAACAGACAGGCTGATAAAGTAATTTATGACTTAATGTAAACCTGAAACTGCATGTTAACATATTTATTAATTGAGGCACCTGACAAAAAGGGCTTTTGATTAAACAGAAGCTTCTTTTAGGTTGCGTTTCTGTTTTTCCTGCCTTTAATCCTAAATCACATAGTTACACTGTGAGTTTCAATAATGACAGTTTAACCCAAGAGCCTCCTGGGAAATTAAATTCATGTGCATTTTCTTTTCCAGTTCAGAGCATTCCTTTTTAAGCCTCAAGTTTTGAAGCACACTGGTCCTTAGCATCGTCCTCCAGGGGCTAGGTCCTCTGTGCCTACCTGCTTTTTAAATTGTTCATTATCCAAGCCACGTAGGTGCTCCCTAATTTCCCTTGTGGCTGAAACTCTCACCAGAATAAAGCCTCCTCCCTCTCTCTGTGAGGCACTTTTAATTGTCAGTGTTACTCATCCATCCTTCAGAGGTAATTGGCCCCAGAGTGAGCCTCCGGGAAAGTGCGGAAACTTTGTCAATTTGTTGGATTACTAGGTGCAGGGATATTGCAGCAAGTTTGGCTGATTGGTTTTCATTCCTCTCCTGAGACTTGCCCGGGTTGAACAGTGGCTGTTACTTCCCCACTGACTTACTCTTGAGAAGAACTGCCCTGGATAGGCCTTAGATGAGGGTCATTCCTAGGTTAGGTGGTATGCCATTTAGCTTTCTTAAGTAATACCAAAATAAAGACAGGCTCAGATTTATGTCACTTGCCTTATACAGGAGCAGCATTACCTAGAGACTTGTTCAGCATGCAAAATCTTGGGGTCCCATCCTAGAACTAGTGCCTCAGAAATCCTAGGGGACAGGACCCAGCACCCTGCACTTTAACAAGTTCTTAGGTGAGTGATGCATAAAAAGCTTAAGAAATACTGTGCTACACATAGGCAAAGAGAGAGTTGTGGGTGTTTGTTTTTCTTAAATAACAGGATTTGTATCCATTCCTTGGAAGTGACTCTGGAAGTCATCCGAAAAGGTAAAACGAACACCCAGTGATATGGGCTCCTCCGCACCTTGGAGGGATTAGAGGAGGAACACAGGGTGGCCTATTTATACCATTATTAGTTTAGATTATTAGGTGTGTAGGCTTCAGAATTCTGCTCAATTGTTTGCTTCTCATAAGAAAGCAAAGGCAAACCTAGCATTACTGTTGCACAGTAAGAGACACAAGGAAAAGTGCATCTATATTATTTGGGTCCCAAGTCCTGGTTATTGCAATCTTTTGACCTGGCCTTAGTATACAGTAGAAAGAATGTTTCTTGGGTAGGTAAATGCGCATGCTTTGCTTACATATTGTTTTATTGTGGCTGTGATATTTGTGATCAGCTGATTCTATCTTTTCCCAAAGAGAGATCAAGTTTAGAACATATTCAAGTCAGAGGCATGACACTGAAATTAGGCCTGGATTTGAATCTCAGCTCTTTCACTGACTAATTGATTGTAGCTTCTTGTTTCTCCTTTGTAAAATAGGGTTAAAACCTACTTCAAATGGTTGGACTTTGTAGGCTGAAAACCTACAAAGCATTGGAAACAGTATAAAGCAACTGTTTCATAGTTGGGATTGCTGATAATTTCATATTCTTTGTAGGCCACCTTTCTGAGTGAGTACTAAGGAGAATTCCTGACCAGGAGGTTCAACTATTTATACATATTCTAGGCAATAGTGTACCAAGACTCTTAAGCTACAATATACTTCTGGAGCCAATGGTCACGAATTTGCTATTTTAAGATTGCTCACCTGACAACTATTTATTCGGCAACTATGATGCATGTGTCAGGTTCTGTTATAGGTCCTTGACATACAATGACAAAATGGAAAGTTTTTGTTGTGGTGGTAAGGATATTCAAATATATTCAAAGACAATAAAAGTATCCAAATAACTACTGACTGTATGTTGAAGGAGAGGGCATAGTTAGGTGCTGTTGAGAGAGGATGCTCAGGTGGGTCAGTTCTCTTAAGCAAACTCCCATCCCCCAGCCTTTGTTTTTATATATGTTTAGTGAGAGTCTTGGAGCTTGAACTCAGGGCTTGCCTGGGGGCTGTTCCTGAGCTTTTTTGTTTAAGGCTAGTGATCTACCACTTGAGATATAGCTCTACTTCTGGCTTTTGGCAGTTGATTGGAGATAAGAATCTCAAGGACTTCCTGCCCAGGGTGGTTTTGAAAACACACACACACACACACACATGTGTAAGTGGCTTTGAACATATATATATATATATATATATATATATATATATGCACACACATACATATCCACACCTATCTATCTATCTATCTATCTATCTATCTATCTATCTATCTATCTATCTATCTATCTATCTATCTATCTATCTATCTATGTGTAAGTCATTCACATTTAAAAATTTGAAATTTGAGCATTATCTATGGTAGTTTTCTCATTTCTGTATTAAAGGTGAATCTATCTACTTTTAACCCAAGTATTTTTGCAGTTGGAATGATTACATTTTGATGGTGGATCCATTTTGAAATTATTATTCAATTGGTGATCCTCCTGCCTCATCCTCCTCGTTGCATACCGGTGTGCACCACCACGGCCGGCATTCAGTAATATTTTAGTTTACAATATAAGGTACTATTTTTTTTCTCAGCTTCTGTTTTATATATTGGAGAAAAATGATGACCAGACCAACAACGTATCAGTGTATCTCAGAGCTAATGTTCAGTGAGGGAAACAGGCCCACAAGATTATTTCAGATGATAAATGCTGTAAAGACAAGTAATGCTGTAAAGAAGGACTAAAGAGATGCCCCTCTGATAAGATGACCTTTGAACTGATTCCCAAGTAGCAAGAAGAGGCCAACTATATGAAGGTCTTTCCAGGCCAACTGAACACTTGATAGAAAGGCACTGAGTAGCAAGGGTTAAATGCCAACTGTCCTCCATTCACGAGGCTGAAACATTTTTTTTTTTTTTGCGTCTGGTTGTGGGGCCTGAACTCTGGGCCTGGGCGCTGTCCCTCAGCTCTTCAGCTCAAGGCTAGCGCTCTACCACTTGAGCTACAGCGTCACTTCCGGCTTTTTTTTCTTTTTGCTTATGTGGTGCTGAGGAATGGAACCCAGGGCCTGGAGCATGCAAGGCAAGCGCTCTACCACTGAGCCACCTTTCCAGCCCCAAGGCTGAAACATTTTATCTGGGTTACCTTTCTTATTTATTTCAACAGCCCTTTGGTATAGGTATCCTTAATTAACCTGGCTCTGAATATAAGAACACTGGGAAAATTAGATCGCTGACCTCTTCTTGCTTCCAACATAGCTTTAAGGGCTCAAACCACAATTATGTATCCTGATTTTTATCTCTTCAGGCTATCACGAGAAGGACAAGAAGCCATATTGCCGAAAGGATTTCTTAGCCATGTTCTCACCCAAGTGTGGTGGCTGCAACTGCCCAGTGTTGGAAAACTACCTGTCCGCCATGGATACTGTGTGGCACCCAGAATGCTTTGTGTGTGGGGTCTGTATGCTCAGTTCTCTTTTCCATTTAGGAGGGAAAAAAATCAAGTAAGAGGTGTCACCACTCCCGAGAAGGTATTTGTGGGGCTTCCTAAAGGAGAAATGAGAGGCGGCACTCATTGCATTTGCCTGTCCGTTTTACAAGTGGGCAATCTGGTCTTCACCTGGCAAGGACCTGAGTGGAATCCTTACTCCCAGAAGATACTGGCAGGAATTTCAAGGCAGAAACATTTTACTTTGCTGACATTTTATCTCTTGGTATGTACATTCCCTTTCTCTATCTTCTCTCTACCCCCAGGACTGCTTTAGCAGTTTTTCTACTGGCTCCTTCTTTGAACTTGATGGACGGCCATTCTGTGAGCTCCATTACCACCAACGCCGAGGAACCCTCTGCCATGGATGTGGGCAGCCCATCACCAGCCGCTGCATCAGTGCCATGGGGCACAAGTTCCATCCCGAGCACTTTGTGTGTGCCTTCTGCCTGACACAGCTGTCAAAGGGCGTCTTCAGGGAGCAGAATGACAAGACCTATTGTCAATCCTGCTTCAATAAGCTCTTCTCACTATAAACGTACCCAATTCACAGCCTCTTTAAATAGCTCATAGAATTTAGACCAAGACAAGAAAGAATACATTGCTGTCATTGACCTGCTCAGTAGTTTTACAGAGAATGAAAAGGTGATGAACAAATACAGAAACTCTGGGTGTTACATGACTAGGTTTGCGATCTTTTCAGACTCTTACTTTATTTTAAATTCAGGTACTTGGATTTAGATCTAGATTCTGCTGGCTGGTTCCCCCGCAGATGTATTTCACATATCTATTTTCACAATCTGTTCCTCTACTGCTGCTCTCTTCCTCTCCCTCTATATCTTTCCCTCTATATCTGAGCATGGTCAGATCTGCTGTGCCCCCCCAGAACTTCCCTTCTTCAAGCTTTCCTCATTTCCCCGTGAATCAGTGTTGCATCATCACTACCTTGCTTGCTTAGGTTTTATGGTAGAGCTCATAAGCATTTTGTGTCTTCTTTCAACGACATTTCTCTTTTTCAGGGGGAAGTAGATTTTAACTAACAGCTTTGATAAAATGACTTGTGGTTTGAATGACTCATTGTCATATTACTTGGTAACTAAACTTTCTGTTTGCCAAGTTAACTAGACAATATTTGCAATTAAAGTAATATCCTCTCTTTTTCCTTCCACAAAACAGGCACTTTAAAAAATAAGATGAAATTAAATGAAGAGGCCCTTACTCGTTTACTCTTGTCGTTAGTTTGAGCCCATAACCATTTTGTTTTATTTGAACTTATATCACTGAATCATCTTCAGTTTTTATCATGTTGTTTGCATAAAGAATAGGGCTCTCCATTAGGTAACTTACAAATTCATTTCTTAAAACAAAAACATGACAAAATACCACACATTCATTTTTTAATTTCCTTTTGTTGTTTTGTACCCTTTGTCCTCTTCCCCTCCTTTCCCTTTCATTTACTTCCTTTCCTATTTCTTTTCTTTGAAGATAGGGTCACACTATGTAGCTCAAGCTGGCCTAGAACTTGTATTCTACCTGCCTCTGCCTGGCTGAAAATTAATTTCTAAAGTGAAAAAAAATAAGACACATGTCTCTCTGAATTTCAAGATTGCCTCATAAGACAAATAGACATTCTCAGAGCTTCTCTGAAGAAAGACATTATACAAGTTCCAATATATTTTTTTTTTTTAGCTAGGACAAGGAAAGCTACATCTCAACAAAGATCTCTGATTTTTTTCCTTTTAGAACATTGTAAGTAAATTTCTAGAAGAATGTTACAAACTATCCTTGAATTTGACTCTCTTATATCCTAGCTATTCATAAAAGTAAAGTTCACATGGAGTCAGCCTTCTACAAGATAAGTATTGATAAGGTCTAAAACAAATTCTGATAAGGTATGAACTGTGTCTTTCTTACTGTGGCCTTAAAATAATTATAAGATGGTTTGCTTTACCAATTAAAAACAAACAGAAACTGAAACAGTTTTAGAATGCTACATTCTGAAATGTTACTGACAAAAGTCTCTTTCACTGGGATTTTTTCAAAAATAGGACTACATTAGTCACCTTTATGTGGGAGAATTGAAATGGATCAAGTTGGAATAAGGGAGTTTTAAGAGTTAAAAGGAAGTAGTGACAATTGATTCTATAAAACAGGAACTCCAAATGTGTGTAAAATGTGTGGGAGGCTCCAGGTTTGGGGCCATCTGGCCTTCTGCCCTGTTTAGCTGACACAGAGATTCAGACTAAGCAGAACACACTTTCAGCTTCTAAACATCCTCTTGCCCATGCCCTCACTGTGTGATGCCACATGCAGGTGGTAAGATGGCAGTGCTCGTGATTGCCTTGTCATATGACAAAGCAAATAGGAGTTTAGCTTTGGAGAAGGAATGCTCAGGTACTCAGCATTGTTTTTTTTTTTTTGTAAAGAATTAGCTGGTTTTTTAAATTGTGAAAATACTGTACAGAGGGATTACAATTACATGGGCAAGATAATGAGTATATTTCTTATCAAGCATTGTAGCCTCCTCCTTTGTTTTCCCTTCCCATCCCTTCCCATCCTTCCCCTGCCCCCCCCCTCAGAATTAGCTGTTTTGAGTTTCCTTTAGGATCTAAATATTTAAGACTGTTAGAGGAAAGTCAGAGTTCACTAACACCCAATTAAGATGTGAAAACATTTTTCTCTTACGATAAAGTGTAACTGGTTTTACTTAACCGAAAGGAGATGCTATTTTAAGGACCAGTCTTTTAACAGCAAGGAAATCATTCACAAGTAAAATAGTTTAAAATAGTTAAAACCCCAATAACTCAGAAGTACTAGTATTCAGACTGGCCTATTTACTCTCAGACCTGAGTAACTTCTGCATGACTGAAAAATAAAACCCACTTCTCAGGTTGGGACTTTCCTACCAGTACCTATGTTTGTATAGAAAAAGCACACACCCAGACACAACTCACTTCTCCAAGAGGAGTTTGGCAGGTTATTCTTTGGAATAAACATAGTATCCTTTAAGGTGATATGTTGATAATACAATAATTACATTTCATACACATTCTAGCACACATTCCTTTTATGGCTTGAGCTAGCCTAATATGTGCTCCTGTTTATATGGCCAGGCACAGGAGAAAAAGCAGTTTTCTCTAGCATTTGTAAGCACAAGACCCAAGATTCATGCTAAATGGACTAGTGTAAGTCATATGACCACCAGTAATTCTGTCCCCCCCCCACACACATACTTCCCCTGGTACAGCTAGACTCTTCCTAGATTTAGAGGCAGAATTAACTGTTCTCAAAACAATGGCTTTGTATGAGAGATGTGAATACTTAAAAGTATGTGTATTGGTAAGAAGGAGGACATAGGTAGTGAATTTTGAATTCATACATTTCCAAAGTGAAAATGCTAAAGACTTTTGAGTTTCAAGGAGGGAGAGAGGGCTGGATTCTGTTGGCCAAGCACTGCATTAACTTTACAACTACACACAGGTAGCTGGGAGGCAGGGGTTTTGTAGTAAGTAAGCAAGTAGGTGTTACTAGTGTGCCTTGAAGGAATATGTCTGAGAATGTTTACAGAACAGCATAAGAAAGCCAGGTATGATGGTGTCATGAGGAAAACATGAGATATCCTGGTCACTTCTAGGAATACAACATTAAGAAGCATCTAAAGAGCTGGTGCCATGGCTCATGTCTGAAATCCTAGCTACTCAGGAAGCTGAGATCTGAGGATCATAGTTTGAAGCCCCGCCTGGCAGGAAAGTCCATGAGACTCTCATCTCCAATTAACCACCAAGAAACTGGAAGTGGCACTGTGGCTTAAAGCTGTAGAGCGTTAGTCTTCAGCATAAAAGCTCAGGGACAGTGCCCAGGCCCTGAGTTCAAGCCCACAAGTGACAAGAACACCCCCCCCCAAAGAAAAAGCATCTAAAGTAGCTTCAAAACAGGAGGTCTTCCAGCTGAAATGAAGGCAAGAAAGGGTGACATGTTCCTTTAGTATTCAATATCTTAGGCAAAGCAGGTAGTGATTGCATGCCCTAAAATATGTTCTGAAAAAGTATCTATTGTCCCTGAAGACACTTGAGAGGTTGTTATTTGCTAGAAGTTATTTGCTAAAAGGAGAAATGGGATCCACAGGAGGTAAAAAGGATGAAACCTCATTTGCGACTATGTGTTTGGGCTGTGCTTGTCAAAAATGTATAATGTTTCCAGAAGGCAGCAGTGTCTCAAATCTATTCTGTATGAAATGGGAGATTATGTAGGAGGTTTCTTACCCCAAATAGATATGATAAATACACTCCATCTAAATTGAAGTCCTATGGGACGATGGCTCTTGAGTCATTCACAGACTGTGGGTTCTGGATGATTTCTGCATACACTTACTGTCATCCTGTGGGGGTAAATCCATCTTTCCTTCCTATTTTAAATATCAGTATTAACAAATGTTATATTCTAGGAATAACAGTTTTGAGTGGGATAATCACCCCAGTTCATCAGGTGACAGCTGCTGAGGGATCAACTCATATAGCTGAGAATTAACAGACCAAGAAATCAAAGATTTGACTTTCTTTAATTGTAATGCTTTTGGCTTTCGAAATACTGGGATGGGTTACATGAGTGGATAAAATCAGGGATGGGAAATAAAGGGAGAGTAAATTTTTTCATCTTTCCTTGCCCTGAACTCCCATTTTGGGTGCGTGTGTTTAGAGAAGGCTGACTTTACCCTTTGTTCTTGAGATGAAAATAGTTCTATGTCTGGCCAGTAAGATTATCTTGGTCTCCAAGGCTAGAGTGTTTGTATCAGGGGCAGACATGTAACCTTAGCAAAGCCAATTATATTGCTCCCTAGACCCTTTGCTGGATTTATTGGTAAATATGAATACTCATTTGTTGGAATGCTAGCCAGGAGGGTAATAAAAGTTAGTGTTGCTTAGAAGCAACTTTATTATTATTTAGAGGGAACCTGCCTGACAAGGCAGCACACAGGAAAGTAGAATGGAATAATGGAGAAGCTGGCTTTTCTTTTATAAAGCTACCAAATTCTACACTATCAGCATCTTAACCCTAGACTAGGACATTATTAAATATTATTAAATAAATGTTCTCATTTAAACTGTCTTGAGTTGGGATTCTTGAACTGATTGAATAAACAGAGCAGATATTCTCTCCCTCCCCCCACTCTCCAGTTTAGAGCATAGTGAAAGAAGTATAATAAAAATAAATTGAATGTGGAGATTGAATACACTGCATCCCATTATGAAAGCTAGAACATTAATGTAATAATCGTTTCTCTATGCTCTTTACACTAGATAAGTGAAGCCTTTTCTATTTTAAGGTTAAACCAAGCTGAGGATCATATATTTAGGACACAAACTTGTCCAGTTTGCTAATAAAATTGAGTAATGTGGGTGAAAAGAAAGGGAGGAAGAGGATGCTATCATCCTCTGAGATTAAAAAAAGTGTTGGAAATCGCATGATCCTGCTGCTTTGTCTAGTTGTTGTTCATAAAAAAACAAATATCTAAGAGGTAGTGAATGTGACCAAAGTACATTCTATGTATATACAGAAATAGCACAATGAAATATGCTAGTAAGTAGAGAACAAATACTGACTGCTATGTCAGTGTTTTATGTTTGCAGTGAAAAAACCAATTAAAATCTTGATATATTACTTTCAAACAAAATGGACAAGTAGTAAAACAAGAGAAATAGATTTACATGTATACTACATCTTAATCTGCTTTACCACCATAAAGAGAAATGATACAGATTGAATTAAACAACAGAAATTAATTTTCTTACCCAACTGGAGACTTAGAAGTTCCGGCTGATGGGCTGCCAAGTTTGTTTCCTGATAAGAGCTCTCTTCTTGGCTTGCAGATAGCTACCTATTAGCTATCTCCCTCACGTGGTGAAGAGTGGGAAGGAGAAAAAGGAGAAGAGGACAGAGGGAAGAAGGAGAAATAGAGGAGGGAGAGATAGAAAGGAGGAAGGGAGGATGAGAGAGATTGAGAGAGAGCGAGAGAGAGAGAGCAATCTCTGACATCTTCTGACAAATATAGCTAGATTGAAGAGGTCATGGCTTCAGTACATTTTGGGGGACAACATACCTGTAGCCGTGCCATACAGAAAGATTGATACTTACAGAAACTTGGGCTTACAAGAGAGCAAGGAAGAGGAAAAAGAGTGACCTTTCTAGTGATTCTGAGAGGCGACCTCAGAGGTGCTCTT